CACAGTTTCTTATTACTTCTATGCCACGATAATGGCACCATGTGCCCTAGGAGCAGCAGTTGGCTGCTGGAATCAGAGGATCTGATTTTCTCTCATGCTCTGGTTTTCCCTTGTTAACATCCCTGCAAGCCCCACGGATCCTCTTTTACCCTTTCCTATGGTCTGGAAGTGGGATTCAGGCCCAGTCCTTTTGCCAGTCAGGGTTATTCGCTGCCTCCTTCAGGAAGCACAATACAGAAGGCTGCAGAGGTACTACATGCAGCACAAGAGCCACTTGCACCTCATATTGCCTGTCGTAGGAGATGGCCCAAAGGCCACAGCCCCTTGTGGGGCAGGAGCTGGCTCGAAATGGAGAGTTAATAGCTCCCTGCATCCCATCTCCTCTGCGTGCTCACAGCAGGGGCTTTGCTGCCAAGCTGCCTGCCCTCCATCAGGCCCTGCTGTGCTGGGGCTGAGCAGCCAACGCGCTGCTCTTATCACCCCATCAGAGCAGTTGGAAGACAGTTGAGTGTCTCTCTTAGTGCTGATAGAAGGGAAGGCTTTGCTCTTGGAGATAAGAAGCCCTCCCTGAGGAGCCAGGGATGTTCGTTGGTATCAGGGTGTCTTCCAGCCCGTTGCAGACATACTCTTTGTACGTGCGAGAGGGAGAGGCGGTCACGTAGCCAACAGCCAGCGAGGGCTGTGTTTTTGAGGTCAGTTAACTGAACCCTTCACTATCATCTCTTTGCTTTGCCCTAGAATTGCTCCTCTCCTGTTGATCAAGCCTTGGCAGTGACCTCGTTGGCTCGCCACGCTGTAAACAGTCAAGTCCTCATGTTTGAGGAGATATTCATTCAGGAGCGATGGATGTGTCGGGAAGGTGTTTCAGCTGAAGATGTTGAAATGCTCAACAGCTCTTCTGCTCCATGCTCTGTGTGTGCTTGAGGAGCTGCCCAGCTCCTGCTGCAGGTTATAGGAGGCACAGTTTCATAAGCAGCCCCTGTCTGGGTTGGGGGGAACAGGGGTGTCTGGAGGAGGTGTTCACTGCCATCCCCAGATAGAGCTCCCTGCGTCATCCCATGGCAACAAAGCCACTCTCTGGTGGTGACATCGTGTGATGCTCCTAAAGCAGAACGTCTGCACCCCCTTTATCCACAGCAATTCAATAGGTCTCATTTGCAGTACCAGGTAATTCGGGTGGGTGTAAGAATGAGGGCATGCACAGAGAGGCTGTGTGCTGATGCACATTCACTTCATGGTTGGACTTGATCTTAAAGGTCTCTTCCAACCTGGCTGATTCTATGATTCAAAGCCTTTGCAAACAAGGAGGTCAAACATTTTTGGCAAGGCAGAGGCTGTTTGACACAAAGGTGCACTCAGGATATGTTCTATGGGGAGAACAACCTGCCTTTTCCATTTGAAACCTGCTGCCTGGCTGTTTCCTTGGCCCTGTGCAGCTCAGTTGTGATGGATGAATGCCCTCCATAGGCTGCTCACGCTCTCTAAGTGCGGGTCTGTTTTCCCTCCCCGTTTTCCCCCAAAGGAAAACACCACATTTCCAAATAGAACTCTTAGCACCCAAATAAGGATGAGTAAAACATAAGCCATGGGGAAGGGGTGCCGGTCCCAGCCTGGCCGGAGCATGGCCATGCACGCATCCTGCCTCGTGTCTTGCAGCTCATCGGTGGAAATCCTCTGCCATCTGCTGGTACAGATCCCTGAAGGTCTGTTAGAAGCAATTGCCTTACAGAACGGTAGGAGGAAAGAGGCATCTCTGAAGCATGTAAGTGCTTGTCTAGGATAAACGTTACCTGCTTTGGTCCAGTGCAATCCTCCTGCTCCTGAGGAGATGGAGCCTGCAGGCTTCTGCCAGCACAGCTCTTGGCTGGGGAGTCATACTCTTAGCAATGGGACAAGGGGTGATGGGTTCACATTGAAACAGGGGAAGCTCAGGTTGGAGATAAGGGAGAAGCTCTTCCCTGTGAGGGTGCTGAGGCGCTGGCACAGGGTGCCCAGAGAAGCTGTGGCTGCCCCATCCCTGGCAGTGCTCAAGGCCAGGTTGGACACAGGGGCTTGGAGCACCCTGCTCCAGTGGAAGGGGTCCTTGCCCATGGCAGGGGTTGGAGCTGGAGGAGCTTTAAGCTCCCTTCCAACCCAACCCATTCTATGATTCCATGCCCCAGCACCTCTGTGAAAGCATGGATACACTGGGAAAACTCTCCTTCTGCCACCTTCTTTGCATGGAGGAGTTGTGCACATCCACAAGCAGAACCACAGGTAGCACAGCCTGGAGCAGTGGAATCAATATGATCAGACAAGGTGCCAGTGAAACAGAAACCACCTTCCTGTTACCTGTCTTTTCACTCATAGAAGCCTTGCCTGGACTTCAGTGACAGCAGAGAGCTTGGATGCACTTAACAAGGGAAATCTTGAGCCAAGACTCAGACTTGGCCAGGGAAATCCTGCTGCTGCATCTCCATCTATTTTAGTTCTGGCCTTTAGTACCCAGCTGAAGCTCCTTGAAATGCCCTAGCCCAGTTCTAGGCTCTTTCTCAGTTCATGTTGCAGACCCTCCATCGTGTCCATCAATCAGGTTAAGAGCCTGGACTTTCCTTCTTCCTTTTCCTGCTTGGCCTGGCTGCATCTCCCCGTCTCTCCATTGGGTCTCATTCGTTGCTGCAAACCACATCTCTGCTCCTAGATTACCCCAAGTACAATAGCTATTACAAAGGAGGATGAAAACCAGGGCTCGTAGGCTGGCCCAGTCACAGCAGCAGCCTGCTGGGGGAAATGGAACAGACTGGAGGAGTGGAAAAGCAGCCTCATTTCCAAGGCACAGTTGGGGTTAGAGCACCAGGCTGGTGCAAGCCCTCGCATTCCTCAATAGGGAGCAGAGGAACTTGCTGACAGATGGGTGCTTTTCCCAGCTGGGAAACGTGCTGGCCAGTAAACCAGGATTTCCTTTCCATCAGCTCAGAGAATTGGATCAATCAGTGCTATTTGATGTAACAGAACTGGTTTGGAGCCAAGCAGTGGGTTTGAGCTCTCTCCAAAGCATTTTACTTCTTCGCATCTTATTGCAGCTCTTTCACTTTTCCTTCCCCTCCCCATTTCTCTTTCCCAACACCAAGCCTTGCCTGCACTTCCCCTTTGGCTGTGTCATCAGGAGTGTTCTCATTCGCTGTTATTTTTGATTTCCATCCAGGCTTTGTATGATATTAATAGCGATTCCATAAAACCAGAATCTTCCTCAAACCACTCCTAATATTAGCAGGAGAAAGAGCCAAAAAGTGTTGCTGAGGCCTGAGGGATCTGAGCTCTGGATTCCTCCTCCATTCTGCCAGCACTGCCCATAGCCCAGCTCAGCCCCTGCCCTGGGGACTGAAAGCATCTCTGCCTGCTATCCACCACATAGCTCCATCCTGGCCATGCCAGGCAATGGAGAAGCAGCTTGGGCAAGCCAAAGCATGCAGAAAGAAGATGCTTACGTGAGGATTCAAGAACTCACTCATGGTCTAATTCATGCCTCAGTCTAATCAATTTACTCTCACAAGACCCCACTTGCAGCACTGGGTGCAGATTGGGGTCCTCAACATAAGGACATGGAGGAGGCCACAAGGATGCTCAGGGGCTGGAGCAGCTCCCATATGGAGCCAGGCTGAGAACATTGGGGCTGGAGAAGAGGAGCTGCGTGGAGACCTCAGAGCAGCTTCCAGTGGCTGAAGGGGGCTACAAGGATGCTGCAGAGGGACCTGCATCAGGGACTGGAGCGATGGAACAAGGGGTGATGGGGTCAGGCTGGAACAGGGGGAGTTCAGGTTGGAGATAAGGGAGAAGCTCTTCCCTGTGAGGGTGCTGAGGCACCCATGGAAGCTGTGGCTGCCCCATCCCTGGCAGTGCTCAAGGCCAGGCTGCACAGAGCCTTGGGCAACATGGACTAATAGAAGACATCTCTACCCATGGGAGAGGGGTTGGAACTAGATTACCGTAAGGTCCTTTCCACCCTTAAGTAGCATGTGATTCTATAATCCTTTACTGCTCCACCTCTTCCAGCAGTGCTAACAGCTAATATCCAAATTATCCCATTCCTATTAAAGGTTGTCAGTAATAAAACCCAACGAACACACCAAACAAAAGTACCCATCCCAATCCTTTAATGGCAAATTCACCCTCCTTCCTTTGCTGCAGTGACTCATCCACATCCTGAGGGGGAAAAAGTGACGTTGATGGGTTTCATTTCTTCTTTGCTAGGAAGAATATGATTATAGGCTTGATGGTTTCTTCATTTACTGCCTACTTGGGGCTATTTGAGTGGTTTTTAATGGATTTTCTACTGGTCTCTGTACTTGAATCTTTCTTCATAAAGCTGCAATTCCATGTTACAGAAGGTACACTGTGTGTCCTCTGTGGATCCGGTGTTTTACCTGGGTTATGTTACCTCTAAGACTGGCTCCTGTCACTTACCAAACCGTGTTCCTCAATGACCAGCATGGATCACCACCGAGGTGCTAACACCCCAACACTGACCCACCCTCAGCACAACCTGCTCAAGCAAGTACATGGGCTTTATGGCAGGCATAGCCGTTGTACCTCAGCTATACAAACCCATGCCAATTCAATACCTCAAACTCGAGTGGGTAAGGAGCACCTTGTTGCTAGGGAGTTACAGCTAAACAAACCACTGCAAAGTGCCAGGCAGGTTGGGACAGGTCCAGACAAAACCAGCTCAACAAGCCCAGTGCCAAGGGCTGAGAGCCTTTCAACAGTGATGGCAATGCCATATTTACACTTGAACAAAGTGCTAACAAAGCCAGTTGCAATGGGAAGAAGGGCTGCAGATCCTGCTGCTCTGAATAGGTCTTCATTTTCCTTTATCCAGATCCCACTCCCATTTTGGGAAGGGAAGGGAGTAGCTTCTACACAGGGACATCAGGATACTCCAGTTACTGTTTAAGTTCTTGCTTTCAGTTTTGTTTCTTCCAAGTCCAATGGTTTCATCAGGCCCTGCCCAGAAAGAAATGCTATTTAAGGGTTAGTTAGTAAGTCACACACTCAGTGCTACCCTGTGCATCTGCTGCAGTGTGGAAGAGATCCAGCCCAAGCCATAGCTCCCTAAGGGTGCTGCTCCATCCACAGCAAGCATGAGGTAAGTGTGCAGCTTCCATTCTTGTAGCAGCTCCAGAGAGAATAGCTTTGGGTTGACTATGCTCTGCAAAAGGTCCTTGTCCAGAACCACAGGATGGGTAAGATCAGAAGGGACCTCTGAAGGTTACACCTTGACCAAGCCTCTGCTCAAGCAGGGCCACCTAAGAGCAGGTTGCCCATGACCACATCCAAACAGCTTTTGAGTATGTCCAAGGATGGAGACTCCATCACCCCCCTGGGCAAGCTGTGCTGGTACCCTGTCATTCTCACAACTAAAAGACAAAGAGGTTCATGATAAAGCTTCCTGAGTTTCAGTTTGTGCCCACTGCTTCTTGTCCCTCTGATAAAAAACCTAGCTCTGCCTTCTTTGTACCTTCCCTTCAGGTTTTTATGTATGTTTCTAAGATGCCTCTGAGCCTTCTCTTCTCTAGGCAAAAGAGTCCCAGCTCTTTCAGCCTTTCCTCAGATAAGAGATGCTCTAGTCCAACATCTTCATGGCTCTGTGTTGGACTTTCCCTGCTGAGCCATCTCTTGTTGCATCACTCACATGAAGGCACAGCCCCTATTTCTTTCTTTCGCATGGGGAACAGAGAAGTTTCCATTGTGTGGTTTTGGCTGGCTCTACTCTTCCTGTTTCTTTAAGCTCATCTTGAAGTCCTTTGCATTGGGTAAGAGCAGCAGCCCTGGCTTCAGGCACTGGAGGCCAAGAAGCTGGGAAGCCTCCCAGATGGCTCCCTGAAAATGGGTTGATTGGAACAAAGATTCACAGGATTTGGAGTAGCTTGTGTGGGGAGAGCCCCATCTTCCACCTCTCCCCTCCTTTTTGCTTCAAGGACAGGTAGGAGCTCCTTGGTGCTCTGTGGGTACCACAGGACAGCACATGCTGCCTATTCCTAACTCACCTTTTCCTTTCTGCAGCAAGAAAGAGCTGAAGGAAAAGCTGGATGCCCTTCAATGCCATTTCACCTGGCGTTTGAGCATAGCAGGCCACATTGAAGTTAGCCATGTCCTGCAGAAGCTGGCTGTTGAAATCAAGTACACACCCCACCAAAACCAGGCACCGCTCTTGGGGCTGCAGGCATACCTGTACCAGCTGGAAGGTCAGAGCAGAGCAGCTCTGCAAAGCCTTAAAGATGCTGAAGAGTATGAGAGGCAAGATAAGCAGCAGGCATCTGTTGCTGGGTCTTTGGTTATATATGGGAATTATGCTTGGATTCACTACCTTCAGGCCTCTTACCAGGAGGCTGAAAGCTATCTGCAACAAGTTGAGCAGCTCTGCACTACTCCTTTAGATGCACAGCTGATCCCATACATCCAGGCCCAGAAAGGCTGGTCTCTCCTGGCTATCAGAGCCCGGAATGGGGAACGGGCAAGAGAGTGCTTTGAAGTGGCATTGATGCTTGAACCGGAGAACAGGAACTTCCATGCTGGGCTTGGAATGGCTCTTTATTCCTGCTGGAATTACTTCTGGTATCCTGATATTGCAGAGGAAGCTAGAATCCAACTAGAAAAAGCTGTTCTTGAGAACCCCAATAACTACAGAGCCAAAATGTGTTTAGCCATGCTACTGGAACAAGTGAATACAGAAAGATCAATTAGCTTGATAGAAGAAAATGTAGAGAAAAGCTCTGATCCTGATGTCCTCAAGGCTTCAGCTTCCTTTTGGCTGAAAAGAAAAGCTACAGAGAAGGCAATTAAGATATTACAGCAAGCCCTGGAGCAGAATCCAGGTTATCACCTTCTCTACCAAGCCCTGGCCAAGTGCTATAAGAAACAGTGGCTTAATGCAAACAACAGAGACAAGAATAACATACTGGAAGCAGCCATCAAGGACCTCAACCAAATTCTGCAGGAACATCCAGACCTCGTGTTTGTAAAGCTGCAATTAGCAGAGTTCTATGGAGCAAGAGACCCAGCACAGGAAGAGAAGATCTACAGGGAGCTGCAGGAGAGAAAGGAGACCCTGAGCCTCAAAAGCCTTCAAGCTCTTAATCTCTACTGGGGAAACTTCTTCTACAAGAAATCATCTCTTGATGAAGCAAAAGCCAAGTTTATGGATGGTTACCGGATTCCCGTGGCAACAGCAATGAGGAGGAAGTGTGCCCAGAAGCTGATCCAGCTGGCTCAGTGCTACCAGGGTGAGGCTGCTGCTGCCATTTACCGCTTCATGGAAGACACCGACCGCCACTTGCCTGCGGAATTCTCTGCAGCCGAGCTGGAGTGATGGCAGGAGCCCCAGCCTGGGCAAAGCAGGGAGCCCTTCCTGCAAAGCTAGAAGGCATCCAGGCCTAGTGTCTGTCTCTCTCTCCAACAGCAGGCCCATCACCTCGTGTAGATACAAGGGTTCCATTGGCATCTCAGCCCATCCCATGTCCATAAATACGGGCCCACCCATAGATAACCAACTGCCCCAAATTTACACACCAGGCCCCCAAGTCCTGCTTCTCTGAGAGGAAGGAATGGAAACAAAGGTGAAGAATTTGGCCCATGGGGGCTGAGCACAATCCTCTGCAGGTAGACCTGCATCACCGCCTTGGAATTGCTGTAGATCAGAACTCCGTGCCACTTAGGGGAGAGTGAGAAGTGCCTTCCATTATCACAAATCTCCTTTGCAGCAAATAAGAAGGTGGTTTAATCCATGAAGTCATTAACTGATGGGGGAGGGCTTGGTGGGGTGAAGCACCTGCATACAGGGCAGAGAGATAGTCCCTGGCCTGTCCTATTGCTTTAAATACAAAAGTAGCAAGAGCTAGCTGCTGCTTATGGAGCATATAGTTGTGATTATATTGGCATGAATCCTTTGAAACGTGTGTGCGCTTGCCTCTGCCTGAACGTAAAAACAGGAGCTTTGCTTTCTTGCACTGGTAAAACTCCATAGCACAAGTAACAAGCATTAGCCACAGCACAGAACCACAGGTCACACAGATCATTATTTACTCAACTGCACAAGTCATGACAGTTTTCCAGAGCTCAATAAAAACAGTCTCTTTATAAGCTTCTGTATGTGTTCCATAAATCTTTTCACACAGCACTGAGCCAGGCCACATATCCTGGTTTGGGAAAGCAGGGACTCCCAAGAGCAAGGATGCTCTTAAGCTACCCTCAATCCCCTCACCAGTATGAGCAGCACTAGTCATTCATTTAGACTGCCCTGGAATCTTTGGGGTTTGCATCTACAGACAGTTTTTACCTTGTAAATGCAGTACCAGGAAACATTTCTTTACTAAAGTCACAGCCCCTCTGGCAGTTAAAACGGAGCATCCTTTGCTCATCAAAGGCAACAGTGCCATCCTCAGGATTAAAGGCTGCATGACCACAGCCCAAGTCACGAATTAGACTTGGGTGCTGCTGGAAACACTGGGTTCCAACAAATGAGCATCACTGCTGTGTGAAGAGAAGCTTTAAAAATATCAAAATTGAGCTTTAAAAACCAAACAGCAAAACCCAACAAGGTCACAATCCTTACATGACCGTTCCACTCCATACGGGTACGAGACTGGATGCTACCGAAGTGCCAGCAAGTTCTTCTAGCTTTTTTTTTATTAATACTTGGAACAAATCCTGTTATTACTTTCTTCACCAACACTAAATTCAGCACAACATTAGATAATAAAAATACATTGCACAATAAAATACCATTAAAAGTCTCAGTTAAGCTGGAAGCTAAATGGAAAGAAATATTATTACATAAGCTGCCAATGGCCACAGAGAGGGCTGGTGTTTCTTGTACTGGTGCATACTGGTGTGCAAATGCTAGGACAACACTACCTCCCAGGTCCACTTCACTTCAGCACAGGAGAAGCAAAGAAGTTATACTGATGCCCAAGCTGGGCTGATGACTTGCCTTTGCTCCCAAATCTAGATCAAGAGAAGTAGAAAAATATCAGGTTTGCATTTGGGATACAGAATTCTAACACCTTCCCTTCCCCAGGGCACTGTCACCCAACTTGTACCCATCTCCCACACAAAGCATTGATCTCCCTACCATAAAAGGCCACTAATTAAACCATCATGCAGCTTGCACTGTTACTACAGCACTCATGAAGGAAAAGTTGACTTAGTAAATCCAGGCTGCTCCCAGAACAGGTTCCAAAAGTCTGCTTTTAGTACTCCACCTGCAGGGAACCCAACACCTCCATAACACCCCACTGGCACTTACCTAGGGGTGGTTTTGCTTAAGGTAGAGCGGACCCTCTGGGACAGGGAGCTGGATGATGGAGTCTTGGAGAGCTGGTGCTCTGGAGAAGTGAGGGGCCCAAGTATGCTCACTGCCAAAAAAGAGGTAGTGAAGTGAGCAACATGGGGACAGCTGAAGTGTTCGTTGCCATGCAAGGAACATCAGACATTCCCTAGCATCTGCCAAAAACACTAGACAACACTAGTGTTTTCCTGGCATGTTCTTCTTCCCTCTTCCTCCATGAAGCATGCAGGAATGCTCCAGATTCTCAAGCAGCTCTGTCTGAGGGGCATTAGTTTTACAACAGCAGTTGCACAGCCAGTAAGTAGTAAAGCAGAACTCAGGGGTTACCTTTAACATCTGGTGTCTGTGGTGTGGAGTAGGCATTGACATTCTCAATTACATGTCCTGGGTCAATGTTTTCTTGCTCCACCATTATCAGGTGGCTCCAGTAGTCCATAGGCAGCAACAGAAGTCGCTCCAATACCTACAGAGAGACCCATGAGAAGAATCATGGAATCACAGAATCAATCAGGTTGGGAAAGTCCTTTAAGGTCATCAAGTCCAACCATTACCCCAGCACTGCCAAGGCCACCACTAACTCATGCACTGAGGGCCTCAGCTAACCAGTTTGGGAACACTTGCAGGGACAGTGACTCCAGCCCTGCCCTGGGCAGCCTGTTCCAATGCCTGAGCACCCTCTGGGGAAGGAATTGTTCCTCAGCTCCATCTAAACCTGCCCTGGTGCAGCTTGAGGCCTTTTCCTCTTGTCCCACCCCTTGTTCCTTGGGAGCAGAGACTGACCCCCACCTCACTACATCCCCCTGTCAGGCAGTTGTAGAGCACAATAAGGTCCATCTGAGCTTTCCCTTCTCCAGACTAAACCCCCTACCCCCCCCAGTCTCCCAGCTGTTCCTCATCACACTTGTGCTCCAGGCCCTTCCCCAGCTCCACTGCCCTTCTCTGGACCCCATCAAGCACCTCCGTGTTCCTCCTGTAGTAAGAGACCCAGAACTGGTGCAGCCTCACCAGTGCCAAGTACAGGGGGATGATGTTGCAGACTAGCACACAGCTTTGATACACTGACACTAGACCAGCATCATCTCAGCTCCCTCCAGCAATTCATTTGAATCTGTTAAAGGGGATACCTTCACCCCAAGCAGGTCCTGCTGCTCACCCACCTTAGGCTGTCGCTTAGTGTCCTGCAGGAGCATCATAGGGTCAGGATCAGGTACAGCATGGGCAACTATTGTGGGGCCAAAGACTTTGGCCAAGTTGGCGATGTCCATTTTAGTCTCTGGGCTCTGAGCCACCCTATATTAAAAACAGTAAGAGAATGTAGCTTCTCCCCTTCACTTGTATTACAAGTCCCCCACCCCATACGCACTGCAGCTTCTGAAAAAGCATGTTTTTCCAGGACGAAGACTTTATGCTCACAAGCAATAACAAAAGCCAATTACAAGAAGGCACCAGTGGCAACATCCCTCTTTCAGAACTACCAGCCCATTTGGACATACCTCTGCAGGTGGATCATGAGGAAAGCCAGGGTGTCCCTATTGGCCTGAGGAAGCTCACCAATTGCTTGGTACATAGCAGCAATGCTGTTGTCCTCATCTGAGATTTCTAGGGGAAAAAAACCAAAATGTTTAGACCTCAGAAGGTGGTCCCAGAGGCACAGATGCAATATTGCCCTCACAGCAGTACCTAGCCTGAGAAACAAGGAAGCCAGAAACTTTACATTTACTGCCACTGCAGTAATTTGGTATCCTGCCCAAGTAGTAGAACTTGTTTCCTTCCTCTTTCAGAGTACAGCACAAGAGATATCTTCCAAGCACATGGCACATCAACACAGCTGCAAGCATAAGGGCTCCACAGAGCCCTGGGGTCTCCCAGTGAACACGACAGCTAAACCTGTGACCATCAAGCCTAGGGAAAGATTTGGAGATGTCATTTAGCAGCTTCCTCACCTGCAGCTTCCATAAAAGTCTTGTTTAACTGGAATGTGAGAAGGGGTTCTTTCAGGCTGCGCAGGAAGTCCTTGAGAAGGCCACAGATAGCATGGATGTCATCCACTTTGCTGAGCAAAGGAACACTTTTCGATCTAAGAAACTTCTCTTTCAGTTCCTTCACTGTCTTATCACAGCCAGACACACGGTAAAGGCCTGTCTGTAACAGAAAGCATTGCTTAGAGGCAGAGTATCAAGAGCACATATAAAACTGACATCCTTCTGCTCCCACTTGCTCTCCACACCTGAGCATCCTGCCCAGCCACTGTTGCTCACTCGCAGTCACCCACTGACCAGCACTATGCACACCATGAATAAGAGATGCTTGGGTTCATTTGCCTCCCTAACACCACAACCCATTTCATTAGCATTGTTTCACACCTCATTTTCTTTTTACCTCATTCAGCCCTCGCTGCTCGATCTCATTAACACAGTGCACTATGATGGAAGGGATCATTGGAGGAGTAGAAGGGACAAAGTCCATCAAGGTCCCCTGAAAGGCAAAAGGAAAAATGAAGGAATACTCAGTCTTCAGACATAGAAAATAATTTCTCAGGCATTCATAGTGAGATCTAAAGTACATCCATCAGCACAATGCTGCAGAATTGCCTACCCACAGCTGCCATATTCCCAACTTCACACCCTCCTAATGCAGCATCCCTATCAGTTGGAAGCACTACCCTGCTCCCGACACAAATGATCTTGCTAATGTAGATCATGCACCTCTAAGCAACAGGAGCTCTTCTGTAGAAAGCACATTTGTTAGAGCCTGAGCACATTCCTCTAACCAAATTGTTGGCAGCTCACCCAGCAGACTCACCTCTCCAATTCTAACAGGAGTGCCTGTCAAGGTGGGGATGCAGGGAAGAGGACAGCGGTCCCGACACTCTGGGTGGGCGACCACACGGCAGTCCCTGCACTTCAGAGCTATCTTTCCAAATTTCACTCTCTTTCCGCATGGAACACATGATTCTGGCTTGATAACCTAATGATTCAGAACATGCAGATGGGAAGAGATTAGTGCAATGTAGTCACTCAGCAGGACTTTCCCATGTGAAGACAGGCTAAGGAAGTTCGGGCTGTTCAGCCTGGAGAAGCTGCGTGGAGACCCCAGAGCAGCTTCCAGCATCTGAACAGGGCTACAAGGATGCTGGAAAGGGACTCTGTCAGGGAATGTAGCGATAGGACAAGGGGTGATGGGTTCAAACTGAAACAGGGGAAGTTCAGCTGGGAGATAAGGAAGAAGTTCTTCTCTGTGAGGGTGCTGAAGGGCTGGTACAGGGTGCCCATGGAAGCTGTGGCTGCCCCATCCCTGGCAGTGTTCTGAGCCAGGTTGGATGGGGCTTGAAGCAACCTGCTCTACTGGAAGGTTTCCCTGCCCATGGCAGGGGGTTGGAACTGGATGAGCTTTAAGCTCCCTTCCAACACAAACCATTCTACGATTCTATGAATCTCTGACTTAGACTGCATAACCATACAGGATAACATATTCCCTAATCTAATGCAGGTAACTGGTACAGTCAATACTGACTTGGGTAGCCTCTTACCAAGAACCTGATATCACACCCATTTCCAAGTGGAAGGAGGTGCTTTTTCAAGTTCTTCCTGCCTGTAGACCTACCGTCTTTGAAACAAAGTCGTGCAGCCTCACTCCCCCATTGCTCTGCGGGGTGCCAGAGCCATCAGTCTCCGGTTTGGATTCCAGCTGCTTACTGCCTATGCTTGACTCGCTGCTCCAAGGCTGCAGAGGGCCTGCAAGACAAAAGAGTGTTGGCACCCTATCCCCCTTTGCTTTAAAAGCAAGTGTGCATCAGAA